ATAATAATAATAATAATACTGGAGGCAGGTCATATTGTTGGAACAGCTTTCAGTGAAAGCCTTTAAAGATAATCGGGTTCCAGTGATCAGACATTGAGTCGCTGTGCTGAGACTTTGCTCCGAGCTGCAGGTCTCAGTGTGCAGGCCTGATGCGCAGGAAGCGGCGCACAGAGCGGAGACAAGAGGCTGATCGCGCAGGGAAAAAATGTTTTACACATTTCCCGTCAGCGGCAAAACGAAAACATGAGGGTGGAAAGAGAGCCGCGGATGTTCACTGCTGGTCAGAGGCTGTCTGCACCGAGCAGGCCTGAAGTCAACCTGGGCCCCGGGAAAGGAAAGGAAGCTTGGCAAAGGTCACCGCTGTGCATCTGCCTTTTTAAAATAAATATTATATGAATTTAAATAAAAGGTGCGCAGCTGGAGTAGAGCTCAGCAAACATCTGTAGAAGCAGTGGGATTAAGTGAAGAACATCAGAAGAATTAAGAGACAGAAAATAAAATTATAGTTTAAAAGAAGAAATAAATATATTGCTGAAATATTGTCGGAAGATTTAAAGACAGATACAAACTAATAAATGAAAAGACTTTGGGTCACATAAATTCATACTGACACACTGTACGCCACTGCGGACACACTACAGGAGTACCGCAGTGACTTTTCATACAGGTTAACGTAAACTGACGTTATTGTGCATTGATAACGACGCAGGAGATAATGAATGGAAATAATGTGCAAATGTGATTTGGGTTTAAAAACTAATGATTGAGAATCCAATCAGAGAGTGGGAGAGGAATGCGGAGATTGGAATTATATGAATGTTACGATGATTGGAAATATAATTTAAAAAAACGTTTTGGATGATTTTGTGCGAGTTAACGCTTCTGCATAAACTTCTGGCACAGTAAACAAGTAAATATTCCGCGTGCGCGCGCGCGTGGGTGTAGAGGAGGGTGAGTTTAAATCACCGTGGAAGGAAACTCGTTAAACACAAGCAGTAAAAGTCTAAAACCAACTGTTTGCTGTTTAGATCCCAATTATAGCCCCGATGGCATCTCATGAACCTAAACTAAAGCATGGGGGGTCGGGAGGGGGGGCCGGGGGGGATCTCTGCAGAGGTTTAGATGGAACTGTTTTATAAGGTTCATCATTTAAATATTTTCTGTAACACACTTTCTGAATTCATGGAGCAGCAGGCCTGATGTTTACATCACGAGTCCTAAAAATCCTGCGTTTTGTTTGGTTTTCCGTTTTTACCGAACTGCTTCACTCTGTGCGCAGAGAGGACACAGACCCACAAACATTTCTCTGAGGAACCTTTGTTTCCTGACCTCGCCATCCTACCGGACAGACACGCGGAAGGTGGGCGGAAACGCTCAAACACGCCGTTAATGTTCAATTAGTAAAATAAGGCTTTTGACCCCGCCTGACCCCGCGGATGAAGCACGCAGCCAGCAGTGAAGCGACAGCAGCTCTCCGGTCGTTTCAGCACCTTCCACCCCGGGCCAAGGACTGCGATTCCCCACGCAGGACGAAACCCTCTAAATATAGTGTGGAGAGCAACTGCAGGAGCCGCAGGCACTGAGAAGTTGAAGATGTGAGGATTAGGACTGGAACTGAGACTGTGAGGCCGTGCGCAAAGATCCACCTGACGCTCATTTATAGGCGTAAAATACTCAATCCGTAAGATGACGGTGCGGCTGTTAAATAGCGCACTTATTAATAATTGTGTAAGTGCTGATCGCAAAAACCAAGAGGTCAGAGTTCAACATCTTAAGCCTCACATGTGATTTTATCGAACGAGAGGATGCATTGCAGATAAAGGAGCCGCTTTGTTTTGCGCTCTCCTTGAGGGCTGGTGACCCTGACTCTGAGTAAAAAACAAACATCAAAGCAGGAAATCAACTGTCGGATTATGTCTGCAGTGACATTTATGTGCAATGACAAGAAGACATTAGCCTGTGGTTACGTTTTGTTAAGCGCCGTTTAAACTTTCTTGGAACATGAAAGCGATTTTTATAATAAAGGTCTAGGTTATAATTCAATAAACATTGTAATGAAGTATTATTTTAAAAGACAAAGTTTAGGTAGTCCTGGAAAAAAAATTGCTCATAACAACACAATGAAAAAGATGAATGTATTCCTTTGTGTTGTGAATTCTACAATAAAAACGGATGTTACGCAGATATAATTATACAATGAAAAATACCATGCAGCTCCAGCCTGTATGGGTAAACAGCAGGTATACCGACTATACCTAAACTTTATTTTCAGTCAGTATTCGGTTTAACCCCCTCTAAATCCCCTCTGATGCGCAACATTCAGAAATGCTCTGGAAGCAAAACATTTTCCCAGGATGGCGAAGGCATGACAGAGTAATTCCATTTTCAGGAGTGGAATACTTCACTCAAAGTGCAGAACAATGTAGTTGTCTCACCACGTTATAGCATGCGGACCAGTATTGGTGCAAACTCTGCACCTCTTCTGTGGCTAATGTTCATTTTATAAAGATCCTTACTGCCTGAGGTCCGGCAGCAGATGTTAAGGGACGATGTGCAAACACTACTGGACCGTTTTTGGGTGAGCCAAATATGCAAGAGTAGTCTTACATGTGACTGTTTATTCTTTGCTGGATGGGTCGCTTAAAAACACACCACTGGTAAACAGTTTATTCTATTCTTCGACACAAAACTAAATAAATGCAATTAAATTGCACTCAGACCTTGAATGTGCGTGTTTCCCCCCGTTTTCTTCTTTTAAATGTGTCTTTAACAACATTATTCAGACAGTGAACATCTGCAGCACTCAGAAATGGAGCCGCAATTATATTTTAATATCATATAATGACAGATGTATCACAGCTGAAGTCCTTTAGGAATATCAGAGAATTAACAGAGACATATTAATGCCACAAATTACAGAAAGTGCGATAGCCCCTTGACCCTAACACCATTAAGTGCGATACAATTGTATCCATATGTATCCTACACACACACACACACACACACACAGTCCATAGCGATAGAAACACTGAGCAGCTTTTAGTTCAGGTTAATTACAATCAAAGTGTCAGAGCCTTCAGCAGCCTATAATGTGTGGAGGTAAAGAGGCTTTAGGTTTACTAGTTTCCTATACTGCTCACTGCATGGACACAGTTTTTATATTTATTTAGTGTCTGCCGGGCTGGAGCTGTTTCCATTTACCACTATTTCTTTAAAAAGTAACATTTATTACGACTCCATTAAAGTTTTTACTTCTGCGCGTAAAACGGTTCAGTTACGGTGTCGCTTTCATATTAAAACAGATTACTTACTACACCACAGCGATATCACTGCAGTCTCACTTTACACAGAGACATGTATTTGTCCTAACAGGATTTACAGCCCGGTGCTGTGTGCATATGTAGTCTATATATTTTTATTTATATTCTGTCAGCTGCTTAATGCCAACAGGGAAAAAGCACCAAAGGGAAATAAACCGAGCGAGGATACGCTCTGTTCCCAGGTAAACACCGAGAGATGGAAAAACCACAGCGCAGTCCAACTCCATAGTGCGAGTGTGTGTGTGTGTGTGTGAGAGAGAGAGAGAATGGTCCGAGTCCCTGCAGGAATATTACAGGGCTACAGAAGTGCATTTTCAATTAGAGAAAGTGTGATGACAGAGAGCAGAAAGTTAAAACTGTAGCAGTAGAAACAGCAGGAGGATGAGGAGCTGTGGGAAGAGTGAAAGGATTAAGGGATGAGAGGGAGAGGAAGGGGGGTGGTAAAAAAAAAAAAAACTAAGAAGGGAAGACTAGAAAGAAAAAAGAAGGAAAGAAAAGGGAGAGAGAAAAACAAATGAAGGATGAGAAAGAGTCAAGACTTGAAGAAGGAAGAGAAAACTAAAGTAGAAAACTAAGAAAGTTTGAAAATGTACTGTGTGCTGATTCATTAAATGTAAGGTCGTGCATTAGTGCGCACATATCACTTTATGGTCACTCAAAATATGCATGAAAAACTGCTGAGCTGCAAATCTGATTTTACAAAAACATGAAGCCTTATTTCTTTTAATTTAAATACTCAGACAAAAAACAGTAAAATAAGCAGACAACAGTAACAAGCAGAATTCCAGTTGACTATACCCAAACACACACACACACACACAAACAGTTCTGTCACCTTAATATCAGTGCTCATTTTAAGTCTTTTACATCTCGACTCCTCGTGATGTGTGACAGTGCGTGCTGAAGCTGCGGAGCGGAGCCTGTTTCCCTGCAGCAGGCTGAAGATCAGTGGATGGGACAATTATTCTGTTGCTGAGGCCATAATACATCAGTTCTTCTCTTTCACCACTGAGTGTGGTAAACAGTGTCGTACTGCACAGTATAAAAAGAGCAATCAATAAAGAATAAACTATATTGGTCATTAAAGTTGTGGAAAAGCTGATGCTGCGCAGTATGTTCAGTACAATCAGGAGCAACTTACCTTTGTTTGTGTTGAAGATCAAATGTTCACTGCTATGTATGAGCTATTATTACAGCCATTATTTATTATCTGTGATCTCCACTGTCAATTGTTGCACCAGAGAACCGTTTAAGTTATCTCTCTCAGTTCATTGCTCACACGTCCCATAATTCATTTGTTCTTTCTAGCTTTTTAACTGTGGCCTGACCTTTGTTTGTTTATGCAAACTTTCAAGGTGCCCACAATAGATGCACACTGGACCACGAAAGTCCCTTGTTGCTCCAACTTCCCAAAAAAATGTGATAAAAGTTAAGATATTGTATTCCTCCTTTTGCTGGGGACCCCCTACAACCCACTCAAGGAATCCTGTTGGTCCCAGAGTCCCTGGACCCCAGTTTGTAAACCACTGCATGTTATAGATGTCAGGTTGTATTTTCTTGAAGTTATACTTTTATTTGTATTTTCACGGTTCTCTCTTTCTTCCATGTTTTTTGGCTTTGTAAGTGTTTGATGAACTGCATTGTGTTTGAGCGGTCACACTCGGGGGAACGTTGGAAAACAATGTTTGAATCAGATGTCAAACCGCCAATGAATCTGGTTTGAATCTTATTGGCAAAAATCTGTGTTTTTATGTTGTTGTGTTTTGGTCTGTGTTAGTACCGTTTTTATAAATCCAATCTGATTCCAATATCCATGTACAAACATCTGATTGCAGTGTAAACACAAACCATTGACATGTTCTACAACACCAGATCGCAGCACCTGTGACCTAAATTCAATTTGCATTTGAACACAACCAAACCAGTATAGTATAACAAGTTACCTCTTAAATAGGTGTTTTTCATTATTTCGGTGGCAGAGCTCAAGAAGACAAAAATATTGGAAATAATATCAAAAATATAGTTTGTGTGGTATATGGGGACACACATACAGCAAAAACTCAAAGGCAGATAAATAAGCTGCAAAGTCTTTCAAATGAGGGCACAGACCAACATTACCACTGCACCCTCATTCACTTCAATGAGACAAACATAGAATAACAAAAGGGCCAATCAGTTGGTAGTCCATCTTCTGCAGTTGAGTCTTTTCCACACTGCTTTTCAACACATTATGTTATCTAATGAGTTACATCCTCTTCGTCTTTGGAATAAAATCTGATATCCGCAGCAGTTCAGTGCTGAGCGAGGCCTTCAGTATAAATGTGGCTTTATTCTCCAGCCTAGCTGCCTAGCTGCAGAATCCCACTAGCTGTCGGACCTCTCTGAGGACCGGTGCAGCCAGTTCCCGAGCCCTGCGGGTCCCCTGGGCCAGCACTCCCTCCAGGTGAGCAGGGTCCGACCTCAGCCTTTCGATCTCCTCTCTGATGGGCGTCAACCTCTGGATCACAGCCTCGGTTACGAGCTTCTTATAGGCGCCTGTGTCCGACCCTCTGGCCAGGGACACCGCCTCCTCCACGCTGATCCTCGCCATGGCGGCGTGGATCGTCACCAGGTTGGACACACCTGGCCGTGTCTCTGGGTCAAAGGTGACCTCAGAGGTGAAATCGGTGACAGCTCGGCGAACCTTGAGGGCGATGTCATCAGGAGAGTCTGTGATGGCAATCGTCGCCATGGACTGGGGGTCGGATTTGGACATTTTGGCGGAAGGGTCACGCAAGGATTTGACCTTTCGTGTAGAGCCTGCAGAAGGGAATCAGATTGAGAAATCCATTGGTATGATGAGAAAACATAAATATTCTTTTCAAAATAAGGTGAAGGAGTTGTTCTACACAGTACAGGACAGCACTTGTTAACAAACAGTAAACATTTACCGGTAGGCCTAGTATTAACACATTTGTTACATACATATATTTTTGGCCCTTTTATTGCCTGTATTTGATAGTGACAGCTGAAGATAGGCAGGAAAGGGGGGTAGAGAGAGAGGGGATGACACGCAGCAAAGGGGTAGGGGTGTAGGTTTGGTTTCACAAGAAGCAAAATACGATAATGCAAAACAAAAAAAGACCAGACACTTTATGACAATGTTATATTTTCATTTTTTCAAAAAAGATTTTTTTTTTTTTAAATCATGTTCAATTTTAGCATCTTCGTTTAGGAATATTAATTGTAAATCTATTTGTATGTGCAGAGCCCTTAGTAGTGTTGGCAAATCTTCCTCTCAGTTACTCCAACAACTTCCATCAATCAGAGGGTGTAGCAGTCTGTATTTAGCCTGACAGGCACAAACCAGGGCAAAAAAAAGTCCACACAGCATTCACTGCTGGTCCTAAAGCTTAATGCTGGGAGTGTATGGTAATAACATCAAGATAACACTCAGAGACTTTAGTGTGTAAATTAAACAAAAAATGTCCTGACAAAAACAACAATTGTTTAAAAGTAACCAAATTTTTGTCAATTTTATGTAAATCAACTTATTGTCCTTGGAATATTTTACTTTATATCAAGTGATGCATTTCAGTTAATTTGTTTATTAAACATGATGTCACTACAATTTGAAATTCTTTAAATTCAGATGTGAATGACTGCTTTAACAAACAGCTCTTAGGAGTTAAAGGATAAAATGAGAGTAATTTCCACTGGACTGCACTGAAAAAGAAAAAATAGACTCAACACTAAAAAGATCGCTGAGCGTTAGTTCTTGCAGAACCTGAATGAAGAATTACAGTTTCATGACTGCTGCCTTGTGTGTGTGTGCATGTGTGCGTGTGTGCAAACGTCCCGGTGTGAAGCAGACGTATCCCGGTATGAAGTGATGAGCAGACTGTGGGATTTCCTTTCCTTTCTTATTTATCAAACCCATACTTCCGCAATCTTGCGAGCTCAAACTCTCCTTCCATCTCATACTAGTAGTCCACATCCGCCCCACGTGTCATGTCCTGTTTATCACCCCTGAGATGTCCTTATTTCAGCCAAATTAAAAGGTCTTTTGGTTTGGTTTCAAAGGGAAGGTGGTGACTGGAAACTCTGCTTTGCCAAAAACAAGGAATGATGGGACCCACCAGGCTGAGCCAAATACTGCAGCGCTCCTGGCTGCTCACACACACATACAGACACCACCCCTCCCTGAAGTCATCCCGAGGACATCCCCCCAATCTATTATCACTCCATTATTCAGATTCAAGAGGAAGAAAATATTTCTTTAATCAAAGCTGCACTGCACACATGACTGACTCCATCTTGTGCTTTTATGATGCTAATAATCAAGGAGGATGAAACTGGGAACTCTGGACATGTTAACCATGTGTGTGTAAAACTGTGAGTACATACTGGAAGACAGTGGAGTAAACATTTCAAAATAAAACAGTCCTAATGTTATTTTGTATGTTAAATCTTCACATAAATATTTCCCAGAAATTTGCTTATATGTAATCTTTGCTTGGTCACTCTGTCATAAAAAAAAAAAAAATTTATTTAACCAGACAAGTCCCACTAAGGTTACACACCTCAAATACAAAACAATATAAAAACAATCTAACACAAAACAGAAGAGACAATTAAAAATGTAATAATTTACTATAGAATTTAAAATCTTATTGACATTGGCCAGGGATATGAGTTTATTTTGAGTTTTTATGAGTTTTTTATTTCCTTCTATAGATTAATCCCAGTGGCTGAAAGTAAATAGGAAGGCTGATTTATTCATCCCTTTCCCAGAACTGGCGACAGACAGCAAATATAGATCTTGCCATCTGAGGTAATGAATGTAAAGTTTCTCTCCCTCGTTTCCTGTATAAGAATTAAGTTTGCAAACATTCTTCTTCTTCATTCTTTCTTTTTGTTTGAGTCAGTCAGGAAAAAAAGTGCACAGAGTGAAGGCAGAGAGACCAATGCAAGACAACACAGCACAGAAGCAGAAAATATAACAGAATGCAACATGGCTGCAGGACATGCTGTAATCTGCACGGCAAAATCTCTCATCACGTTATTTTTCTCACTGAATGAATCATTTCTAGAGAATTATCGAAGCAAGCTGATTTCTATTTACACTGGTTGAAATATTCTGACTGCACTGGCAGATTGTTTTAGACAATAAACTTTTAAGGACCCAGTTAAGGACAAAAATGATTAAATCACTGTGGCACTGTGTCCTTTAATATGTACAACTCATCTAAAATCCAACAAGCTTTTGTCCCTCTGAAACATGTGTGTGTGTTTAATGTGTGTAATGAGGTTTTCTAAGAGGCAAACTTGTGATTGGTGATATTGAGCTAAAGAAATAAAACTGATTTGACCAATCATTGGCGACTAGAGCTCTTTTTTATGATCTGATGAGCGTGTGTATGAGTGTGTTCTTACTGAGCAGGGCGCCGGGCTCAGGGAACAGGTCTCCGTAGCTGTTGTTGAAGATGCGAGCGAGATCCTGAGCCAGCTCTAAATGCTGGACCTGATCCTCTCCGACGGGGACGTGAGTGGACCTGAGAGACGAACCCATATCACAACGTGAGCTTTCTAAACAACAGTACACACTCACAGCACAGGACCGAGACGTGAGAACAAATTGGAGACACTTAGAGAGGCTCGCTGTTGGAGCTCTTTTCGGCGTCAGTTCAGCAACTTTGGAACTGTCAGTCCGGAGGAAGTAATCCATTCATTTCCTCTTCAATAAAATCCAGAGAGCATTAGAGGAGGAGTGTGTCACAGGAAATGAGCTTTTAGCTGTTTGATGGTTCAAAAAGAAACTCCTGAAGAGATAACTTCTGAATTTGTTCAGATATATGAAGCTTATGGATTCATTTTCAGTGCAGAGACACTAAACTGATGTGATCACTAACTCTGCTCGCATCAAAACAGATGCAGCACCGGCACTCCGACTTGCAGATCAAACATTAACAGTATGTTGCATCAGACATTTTCTCAGCATTCAAATGTGAGACTAAGATTTAAATGGCACATCAGAAAACCAAGGAAAACAGCTCAGTTCACTGCATTTTAAATACATTAAGGAGTGTTAAAGGGCTGCCTCAGGAAAAGTTTATAAAAACATATTTACTCACATATTACATTATACTCCGTAGTTGGCAGAGTTTTGGTTTAATTTGTTCATGTTTTGAGATTTATTTTGTTGCTCATGACACTGAAAATTATTGAAATTATGAAAATTCAACAGCAACATCTCTTTCCAGAAACAATGTGCCCTTGCTGCACAGAACACACTGTTCATAATTTTTATTTGAACTACTTCACACTGAAGAAATAGTCCCTATGAGAACAGTTGGCACGTGTTGATGTTTTTCTTTTATTGGAGGCAGAAACCTTGGAGACAAATATTCCAAAACCTGGACTAATAAAAGCAATGTACATGTTCAGATAGCACTAGAGTTTTTTTGTAATATGGGTGGACTGGCTGTTAAATTGTCCTCAATTGAAAAATTATCCGCAAAAATGATTTTAGCTGTGGTAGAAAACCACCCAGAACCACACTTCTCTTCTTGTGTCCAGTTTAACCAGTAGATGACAACCTCAACAATAGTCACACAATAGATGGCCTTGCTCTATGAAAAAGCACTTCTGAGGTTTTTCCCTTAAGGGTAATGTTTTATTTTATATGCAGTAATTTCATTTTTATGATGTTAGAAGACGTGGTTGTTGTTCTCAGATAAGGATCCACCTCTCTGACTTTATTATTATTTTTTGCAGTAATTCTGTTAAATAATGAAGAGACCAATTTAAATCAACTCTTTTTCAATTTTGTAAATCTCACAGAACTTTAGTAGAGTTATAGTTTTAATAGTTTTTCATTTAGATAACATCCTGATTCATTCATTCATTCATTCGTTATCTAAGACTTTTTGTTCATCACTGCAAGAGTTTTATGTAAAAACAGTGAGGGAAATGTGGAAACGGTGCACAGATAGTCCCAGTTTGTAACATCAGATATTGTCAAACAGAGATAAAAAGGGGAAGTGGGGGATGAATTTAAAAATGTCTATGACTGCAGCGTCTTTAACGACTGTGCTTTCCGTTGCCTCGCTGACTTCACTTAGCTCCTTGCTCTCTCATCCAGTCTCCCTTACAAAATCCTGCCATTACTTTATATTTAGCACGCATTAACAACACCAGCAGTAATAGAAAATACAGATTTAAAGGACCAGCGCGTAGGATTTAGTGGCATCTTGTGGCACTTGAAAATAAACTAGGAAATCAATGGAAGAAGAAAAGGAAGATTTACTTAATTAATCCCCAAAAAGAATTTATAAAAGTTAGAATTTATACAGTTAGAAATTAATAAAGTACATCTTCTTGTTCTTTTTCCCTAATTTGTTTTGAATTGCCACAATGGGTGACCCCACTGCAATTTCCCAGCTTGGGATGAATAAAGTATATCTATCTATCTATCGATCATATTTTTCCAGTCATTCCAAAATCCTAAGCCTGTGACCATGGCTGAAGGCTTAGTTTGCCCATTCTATCTCCCACAACAAAAGAAGAGTGTTCACCTGGATGTGTGGAAATAATATGGATTCCAAACTAAAGAATGACAAATATTTGTTTCTTAACACAATATAAGGTAAAGTGATTCCAGTATTGCCACTATTTTGGTCAGGATAATCATGAAAGGACATTTTCATATCGTCCAGTGCCTAATCATCAGTTATAATCATGCGAGGAACAACTTGACCAACAGCTTTAGCTTACAGAAACTGACAACTCTGCTAGAGCTTCTTAGGTTGTCTTAGGGTCGATTGTTTTGGCATTCAAATACAAAGATAAATCTGTTTTT